AACAACAGGGTGAACCTTATTTATTTATTTTGATTGGTAACCTGTGCCTATCCATTGTTCTAGATCAGTGGTTCCCAAACTTTTCGGCATTATGCCCCCTTTTTGATTTTTGAAAAACCCTCATGCCCCCCCACCTTCCCAAAAAATAGCAGCAAAACTTGTTGAGGGAAAAAAAAAAAAGAACTGACTGGGGCAGCAAAACTTGATGGTGGGGGGGCTGGATTGCCTTGCATCCCCCTCTGTACTTTTTTCATGCCCCCCAGGGGATACGCCCCCCATTTTGGGTACCCATGTTCTAGATGCTTTCACAGTGATTCCATAATATTATTTAAGTCTTACTGCTCTAGGACTGCATCTGACAAAGTGAGTCTTTGCCCACGAAAGCTTATGCGCCAATAAATCTGTCAGTCTATAGGTGCCACAGGACTTGTCGTTGTGTATGCTGTAGAACTGGCTCCCACAGGCTATTGCATCAGTCGTGGGTCAGCTGGATATATGAGCCCTTGCTATGCCTTCTTTCCCCTATGTCCCTAAAGCCAGCCTCAGGGAGTGAGCTGGCGTAGGAGCTCTACACCAGAGGATCCCCCTCCACTGGGAAAATCATCTCCTTGCCAGCAGGGGCACAATTTCAGATTTTGGTGGTAGGGGCAGCTTCAGTGTTCCCTCTAAGCTGCACGTTCTGTAGCTCTTCCGCTCTTACAGTGTAGCACTGAAATGTCCAAAGCTGGGCTAATTTGAGTGTGCCTAGAGCAGCAGCCCCTTCCCCCGCCTGAGCAACTTTGTGTCTACTAGTGTCACAAAGGGCATATTCTGCCCAGCCTATGTAACATAGCAACCTGTGAGGATAAGGGCAAATCATGATGAAATCTGTAGCAATCATCTTCTGAGCTTCCTTCCCCACCCCACCGCTCCTTCAGCTTGCTTGTTTCAATGAATTTGAAAAAAGTGCTGCAGAAGCTCCCAGCCCTGCTATTGGATCCATCAGATACATTTCTGGATTCCTGTTGGAAGAGCAAAGAAGAGCCAGCTGGGGGGGAGGGAAGGGGAAGAAGAGTGAAATGGCTTTTCGGTGTGCCTGAGCCTGGGAGGTCGGGTGAGAGCCTGCAGAGAACAAGCTACCTATGGTCGGCAAGGAGAGAAGAGTAAACCAAGGGATGCAAGCAAGCAGTATGCTGACTGCTCATCTTTGTGTTTTGCATTTGTTGCTGCAGTTCTGTTCTTGCCAATAGTGGCATCCCCAAGAGCTGTGATTCTAACCCAACTGCTCCTGATTTCAGCCAGGAGCAAGCAGCAGTTTGCATGGGCTGGGTAAGGCTCATCAAGCTCAACAAAAAACCCAGGCTTGGCCTTTTGTTGCGCTTCATGAGCCTGCATCCCTTTCACTCACTTCTCTCCTTTGATCCCACTAAATGTATTTAAAAAAAACCAAACCCTAAACCACCTGCTCATGAAACTTCCTGCTACAACTCAGGACCAAAATTACACAAACACACCCTCAATTCCCCAGCCAGGAGTCTTCTATCTGCTTTCCAAGATCCACAAACCTGGAAATCCCAGATGACCCATCATCTCAGGCACTGGCATACTTACAGCAAGATTATCTGGTTATATTGACTCTCTCCTCAGACCCTACGCTACCAGCACTCCTAGCTATCTTCAGGACACCACCAACTTCCTGAGGAAACTACAGAACGTCAGTAATCTTCCTGAAACACCCATAGAAGCTCATTACATCAACATTCCAAACAATGATGGATTACTGGCCATCAGGAACACTATCCCTGATGTCATCTCACTGCTCACTTAGTTACAGAACTCTGTGACTTTGTCCTCATCCACAACTATTTCCAATTTGGGGACAATTTATATCTTCAAGTCACAGCCATGGGCACCTGCATGGCCCCCCAATATACCCACATCTTTATGGCTGACCTTGAACAAGGTTTCCTTAGCTCTCGCTCCCTAGTATTCTTACTCTACATATGCTATATTGGTAACATTTTCATCATATGGACCCACGGGAAGAGACCCTTGGAGAAATCCACAGGGATTTCAACAACTTCCACCCAAACACCAACCTTAGCCTGGACCAGTCCACACAAGAGATCCACTTCCTTGACACTACAGTACAATTACAGGACGGACACATTTCCACCACCTTATACCAGAAACCTACCAACCGTTACACTTACCTACATGCCTCTAGCTTCCATCCAAGACACATTTCCTAATCCAGTGGTCCCCAACCTTTTGAGGTTGTCGGGCGCCAGGGGGCGTAGCCGTTTGCCCGCCGGGCGCCAGGGAGTGGGGACACTTGCGCGCCCAGGGGCGCCCCCCCCCATAGCCGCATGCCCAGGGGCGGCTCCCCCCCATAGCCACGCGCCTGGGGGAGGGGGCCCCCCCATAGCCACGCGCCTGGGGCCGGGGCCCCCCCATAGCCGCGCGCCCGGGGTCG